CTAAATCTATACCTATATAATAATATAATATATAATATTACATAATAATGTAAACCAAAAACATATTACCCTTTTTTACGAATATTGCTCCAACGAAGGAATATGAAATTTGGCACACTTATAATTTATACAGAGAAAGAGTGCAGAATGCTAACATTTTTTTTTAATTATGCATAAAAAATACATCAAATCAATAAAAAAAAATTCACACACTTCCATGTATTTGATACATACCTTTTTGTTTATTCTTAAAGTCTGTGGTCAAATTTTAAAATAGATTAATATTTTTTGTTTTTAAAGTCTTACTGAATGTCAAACATAACCACGATAAATTCATTTACAATATATGTTATGTTCGAATTTCGACCACGGGGCGACCACTAGTATAATTTTACATGTATTAGACACTTAGATTTTAGAGACAGAGTGTCTCCATACAAATGTTTCGAGAAAAGCGTGCCAACTTTTTCATACAATTTTGCGTGATAATTAGTTATGAATGTTTCCTTTACACCTTTTTTATTTACTTTGTTTTATAATTTTTACATCTTTTTAATGCGATAAAACTCATTTTATTTATTAAATATATATACGTCAATATACATTATGTGCGTAAATACATAGAACACTGATAAAAAAAAGTCAGCTAAAAAGTCAGCTAATTAGCTGACAAGAGTTAACCCGTTTTCGAGACTCGATGCTCTATCTATATAATCTAAAATTAGACATTAATCATTTCGATCCAGTGTATTTAGATTAGATAATTTTTTCGCAATGATAGGTAATTTTTTTTTGCGTTCGCGCAATTATGGTGAATGGAAATTGGTAGAGAAATGTTAGTAGAAAAATAAAATGTGTGTTAAGAAATTTGCGTACATTTTTCGTCAGTTTTTGTAACACGTAATAACAGTACATGCATTCATAGAATATATAAATGAAAGTAATACAATGAGGTGAAGAAGTCAGCGTAAAACCCGCGTTTTTTATCATCCTTCGCGTAAATTATGGTACATGGTAAAACGTACTGAAAACAAACACAAGTTTGTAACTAGGTAAAAGTGAAGGAAATCGTATTAATTTGAAAAAAATTATTTAAAATTTGAATAGTAATATAATATTGCATGTAATAACATTGTTTAAGTCCGTCCGTGTCTCCTTATCACCTACGCTACTGCAAGATTCAATTGACGATTTCCTTGGAGATAAATGTAGTAAATTTCCATAATATTATAAATTTTTACTATAAATAAGACATTGTTGATTTTTATTTTATAAATTTTTCTCTTATATAATTGCAAATTTGTATACCTCGATAGATAGCGTTGAGCATAGAGGACTTATCTTATTTTAGCATCCATTGTTACTTATGTATCACAATTTAAATAAATAAAATAAATAAATACGAACAAAAGGAATGAACTACTAAGAAGTATTTAAGAAAAGAAAAACTCGAAACAAAATCTTATGATATCCCTCTATTTATAATATAAATACTCGTATATTACAGAATCTGTTTCCAATGGGCGATTGAAAAAAGAAAGTTCCTGTTACACATATGTATATAAACATTGTTAAAGAATAAACATTAGTTTTAAAAATAATATAATAATTAAATTTCTTATAGTAATAACTATAATAAAAATTAGTAGTATATATGCCTATGTGAAATGCCAAAATAGGACCAGATATTATATTGTGGCATACCTCGAACCCTAAAGCTCAGACATCTCAAACTTGAAAGCTTATAAGCAGCAAATAATGAATCCTGTTGCCAGGATTAAATCACTCAAAAGCCCTGATTAAGAGGTTTTCGGAAAATTACTCTAAGAAATTAATTCTTTTGAGTAAAAATTATATGTGTATATTAACAAGGGCTCTTACTAGACACTGCAAACTAAACACGCATATGGCCCAACTAGGCTTATGCCCAAAAAGTGTTTGCAGATTTTATCACAATGAGGAAGAAATGCCGCAGCACTTAATTTGTAGCTGTAGCCAACTCATACATAAATGATATATCTCCTTTGAAAAACACAGGAAACAAAGGAAATAAAAAACGTCGCTACAAAGAACATCTTTAAATTCCTATCGTTGATAGGAATAAGCAGCGAACTTTAAAAAAGAGCGAGCACAAAAGATCATAGAAAGGTCGCAGTGTCACAGGGTTTTCTGTCCGAAAAACCTCGTCTTTCAATAATAATAATAATACCTGTGTGAAAATGAGTTTAATTATTTTTTTTATTTTATACAAAAATCCACAGGTCTTAAAAACACAACTTACATGCTAAATCTTTTATGAATACAGCCAATAACGGATTTTATTTCCAAAATTTACGAAAACCAAAAACGAAAATTTTAATTCCAAAGCAAAGTTTGTTTGTTTATTACCTAATAGCGCCTTATCGGCTTAATCAATCATTACGAAATTTGATATACACGTATTATATTCGACCGAGAACGACTTAGGCTCCTTTTTATCCTGATCAGTGAACACATCCCGTCACGCGGACAAAGTCGCGGGTAAAAGCTAGTAAATAATAAAACTTATAAATCTTCGTACACGCCTCACGCAAAAACTACTGAGCGGATTTTGGTATAAGTTGTAACGTCGGTGTAGTGATTTAGGACTTAGGTATGTTAGGTTCTGTATATCGAATAGAGAAAAGTGTTTACTGCTGAAATATATCTGAATCCAATGAACGTTATTTGGCTTGACCAAGTGTGGCAATGTTCCAACTCTCTGTCAATCTTTAATAATAATGTAATAATTAAAACGTTAATTATACAAACAAGCTGACTGCCTTCCTGATGGAAAGTAGTAACCATCGCCTATAGACATGACAGTACCATGGGCATAACAGACTATACTATTTTGCCCATGATACCCTCAATGCGTTGCCATTCCTGAGGATTAAGGTGTTATTCTTCTGTACTCTGTAAATTCACTGCCATATTTCACTCATCAAATCGAAACACAGTCATGCAAACACAACTGCTTTGTGGTAAATATACGAATTTATAAATTGTCGTTGAAAATTTATATTATTTAGCTTAATATTTATTTATATTATTATTTAAATTTATATTTAGATAGCAATTAATTATTTGAAAAATCCAAAGCAGAATATGAAGTAAGTGCAAAGTTTTTAGTGGTAGATTTATAAGCAATGGACCAAGGCACTCAGTCAAGCTCGTGCTTGTGTCATAGTTACTCATAACTAAGGATCATGAATTGATTCCAAAACTAGTCGAGCTTTATCAATCTAACTACATGTAAGTTAAACGGGTAGTTATTACATTAAAACATATGCAAAGTGTTCTATGATTAATAGTTTAGTTCGTTATCAGAATACTTTTTAAATAATAAATCGGAAACATTGAAAATTATTAAAGTGTTTTCAAAAACTGGTAGATTATATCGACATTGTCATATTTCGTTATGAACGCTCTAAATGGAAAACACAAAAACTCACCGCGTATACGACGTCGCGTGCATAGCAGCTGTTTGAAATATCTTATACCTGTATAGAATATAATTAATTCCTATATATATGTACCTAAGGCTTCCTTTATATCCTTTGGGTATATATATGTACTCAAAGTTTAATCCGGAAGTCTCTCTCTCGTAAGTACGTTATACATATAAGTTCTAAATTAACAGTAAGCCACATGAGAATATACATTTGTAAATTTGTCATATTCCTATATGACAAATATATATATATATAATAAATGAAATATGTAATTATAACTATTCAATAGATTAACTTAAGTATTTTAATTATAATAAAAATCAGTTTCACTTACGTATTTTTAAAAGTACTTATAAAACTTTGAACATATGAAGTACTTGCTCAGATCTTCGGACAGAAGCACCCCAATATCAGATCCTCCCACTTGACTATATATAACGTCAAACTGTACAAGTTGTCGACGATCCTATGCTAACAAACAGTTGGATTTCCTGAGTTTGAGGCGGGATGTTGCCTTTTTATTAATTTTCTATCGGCTGTACAATGGGGAATGTTCCAGGGAATTATATGGTCTGATGCCATCGTCACCCTTTTACCGTCTCGCCATAGAGATGGAGTTCACCTATTACTCTTGAATGCGTGATGTACTACCATAGTGCGTACATCTCGTTCATTTCTACCTCGAACATGGAATTAGCTCCCTTCTTCAGTTCTCCCTTTAGGATATAATATTGGGAATTTCAAAAAACTTGCCTACAAACATTTAAAAGGCTGGCAACGCACAAGTAACTCCTCTCGCGCATCAGGTGTTCAAGGATGACGATAGCCGCTTTCCATCAGATAGACCGTCCGCTCATTTGCCTGCCTAATAATAAAAAAAATTGCAAGAGTATTAACATTACTTAATTATAAACTATTTTTATTTTAATTATTTTTTCTTAATCTTTAGGTATATAATTATTATTTTATTTACCAATGACCGCATTGCGTTAAATGCCGAAAATAAATTTAAAGTGCTTACATTGGTAATTTTATAGCCATTTAATTACGTGACGTAATTACGTGAGTACTTACGGATGTAGAAGCGGCCTCACACTATGTTTACGCAAATAAACGGCTGGGCCACCCACTCCTTCGGTTAAATGAACCTTAAAGTATATTATACACTGATTGAATTACTTTCTTTTTTTTAAGCAACTTCAAAAAAACTATCTTCCGTTCTTTGTCGCTGAATTTTTTTGCGACATGCTACCGTAAAGCGACTTCCAAATTGTCAGTCAGTCCGAGATTGTCATTCGTATAAATATATTTTTTGCGACTATGTTACACGATTACATTTCCAATCCGAAGTCGATTTTTACGATTTACATAAAATTGTTGGTCTGATTTTTTTGCAATAAGACACCTAATATATTTTTTTCTTAATTATCTTCCATGTACAGACATCATCTAGTTACAATTTTATTATATTAGTTAAATTAAGTGTAATATACTTTTACTCATTACATTTTTTTATCTTTTTTACAGCTGCCGTAGTAATAGCGTTCTTCGTGTGCTGGGCGCCATTCCACGTTCAGCGGCTATTCTTTATCTACGGTGAAAATCTACAACAGTTCCATGTGATCAATGAACACCTGTTCAACGTAGCTGGAGCCCTGTACTATGTGTCTGCGACTGTCAACCCCATACTGTACAACGTTATGAGTGGGAGGTTAGTATAATTACACTTTTTTTTTATAATATTTCGAAGTTTTATAATTTACTAACAATTAACTCTGACAATAATAACGTATTTATTTTATTTATTTAACACTTTATTGCACCAACATAACAGGATTTGTTGAACAATTTTCAATACGTATAGTGTAGTACAAAAGGCGGTCTTATTGCTAAGCAATCTCTTCCAGACAACCTTTAGGTAGAAGGAATTGAAGCATAAATAGGTAGGTGGCGTGTTAAAAAAAATAGATCTGTAAAAAATAATATTTGTGACAGCATAGTCATATACACATACATAAATAAACACATACATCCAAATATATACATATATATATATATATATATACATACACATACATATATAAATATATATACATACATATACATATATACAATATATGCAAAATATAACATATACATATATGCAAATATACCACACTTTATGTATGTAATGTACTTTCTATAAGTGAAATATTTTTTTTAAACCGGGCAAAAATTTTTTAGTTTATCTATTACAATCCAAAAATAAAATTTGTCCTCTTTATAGTATTAGTTTAAACTAGCTACCTACCGCCACTTGATGTCTTTGACGTCAATATTTAATTGGAATGTTTGAATTGGCAGCTAGAAACTTTTTGTACAGTCTCTTAATATATGGTTTTCTATATTACCTTTCAGCCTCCTTTACAAACATAATTTTAGGTCTGTTACCACTAACAAAATGGATTCTATTTTAAATATATAATCGGGACACGATGTAAAAAGGTTTTTACATCGCGTTAAGTCCCAATTGTGTATTTATAATATGTGTAAACAACACGAAAGTTTAAAATTAACTAAAATGAATTCTGTTATCTGGTAATAAATAAATTTGAATACGAATTAATTTTTCCGAACAAATTTTCTCTTCATAAAAACCTTGTATTGTATTGTAAAATCTTTATAGTACATAATTTATATTGGACACATTAAAAAGATTTAACATACAATATCGGACTTATCCCGTAGAAGAATGTCTTACAGTCAACCTTTGAGAAACTAAAAGAAAACTATAGAATGTTCGAGGATAAAACTCAAAAAAAAACTGTAAAAACTTCAATCGAGTTTCTGTGAATATTTAAAAATAAATTGAATTAAAAATGGAGGGAGCTAAGAAACTTCAGCCATCTCTTTACCCAGGCTAATCTTTGGGTAGGGAGGGAAGCGATTGTTAGTAATGTAGTATACCAGTCCAATTGCTAGGAATATACCCTGTCAGGTCGATCTCCACGTGGTTCCCTCTGGAAACCGTCGTATTGAATTCCAGGTGCATTTATCACGATGCGCTAACTGACTTGCCTTTTCTTGCCTATAATCCCTCACTGGTGTCCCGCCAGCTTGTACCGTTAACGCAAGCGGAGTTATCATTCAATAAAAAAAATCTTTCGGTTATTGCTATCTATAATACATCGCTAGAAGCACAAATAAATGACGTAATGAGATCACTTCGCCCTTGACCGACTTGCCCAATTAGTTCTCCCTTATTTCCGCTTACACTTATGTTTGTGTAATATGGTAATTTCCTTTTCGTTTGCTTAATTTATTATGATTTATGCTAATATTTTAAGGAGAGTAAACATTATAATTTGCATGTAAAATTAGTTCCTTTTTAGTTCTTATCTGTTTTTTACTTCCTCTATATTTATTGAGAATTATTATACATCCTGCATAGACATCATAGTATAAAAAAATTCAGATTTTTACGGTCTATTTCACTAGAACATAATGAAAAATTAAACAAACAAATAGTTGATCCGATCATAAGACAATAAGTAGGCCTACCATGAAATGATTTCCGAAATTTCGGGGACGAACGAAACAGAAACTTCATGTTAAAATTACATAATACGTGCCATTTAAAATTATTAAAAATATTGAAATATCTTTCCTCTGGACTATTAGGATAGGATTTATGATGAAGGAAATGTTAAGCTTCACTTACTGGGTCAATTTCGGTACGAACAAAAACACGAAATTGAGCCCGAAAATTCGGAATTCCATTTCATGGTAGACCACCAGGCTCCATAGACAAGTGGCAAGCGAATCTATCAATAGAATCGTTATCGAAAGCGATTCCATGAGTTCCAACTCACACAAAACTTCCGACTTTGCTATCTCATCCTATCTCACGGACTCGCAGGCAATGTCGATCCCATGGATTCGCTTGCAACTTGTCTAGAGGACCCGTGGGTCTACTCTTGAATCTAATATCAATATCAATCCAATCTATTGCCAATGACAATTTTATACTATACTCGTGAAACAACAGGTAGGAATTAAGTTATAATTGGAATCAGTTTACAATAGTTTTCAATAACAAGTTATAATAATACGCATCTATTACACACTATCTATCTTGGCCACAGCAGAATATCAGTGTTTTGCTCTTTTAAGAGCAAAGCAATAAACTGAGCTGTGACCATTTTGTGTTACTATGGCACACGCATGAAGGAAGGGTAAGGAAGGAGATTGTTAGTTTATATATTTTGTTTTTTGTATTTTTTATTTGTGCTTTTTTATTTTTATTCTTTTGTCTCTTTTGCTGTGTATTATGTGTATGTTTTTTTATTGTAATTTGTGTGCTGTAAGTAATGTAAATAAATTATCTATCTATCTATCTATCAAAACAATATAGAACTATTATGTCGCTAGTACCTATTGCAATTCGAGGGTGCAAAACGTCTTAATTTCAATATCGATTTATTGGAATTTATTTCAAGAGTAACGTACCAGGTCTTGTATCCAAAAATAATAATAATATTTTTATTGTCAGGTTTTTTGACCCATAGAGGTACAATTATATTACAGCGACATTTACGCTTACGTTTAAGACATAATCGTATAACATATGAAATATAATAATTAAAACATAGGTAGAAAATGATACAGTTATTAGACAAAAACAAAAGAACATTATTTAATGTTTTTGTCTCGATACATGGATAACTAGTACTTTTCAATGGAACTGTTCAGACACTGGGGCAGTGTGCTGAGGATCTCATTTTTCGAATTTCGAATACGAGCTCAGAAATTCGCTACACGATATCTTATTATAGCGAAGTAATCATTAACTCTGGACTCCACAAACATGCGAGACGCACTACAATATTTCGGAAGCCTCATCAAAATGCGGTTATACTGCACTCTAATACTGCTCCGCACACTTTTGGTGCATTTCCTCCAAAGCTGACATGTGTAGAAACATTGATAAAATGTCAACTTCACATTTGGACTGCAACGGGTCACCTTAGCGAGAGCATGTTGCAACAGACGGCCAGGGCCTTTCATTCACGTTTCACATCTCCGTCATCGCGAAGATCCTACGTCACGATATGTCCCAAGTATCTGAACTGGGTCAGTTTCACTCTTTCCACTGCAGTACCGTCTATAAAAATTGGCATAATAGTAATATAAATAAAATATAGATTATTACAATAATACATACTCGTATACATATTAAATAACACTATTACCTGTCTATCGTGGGTATCGCAGTATATACGTATTCTGTATTGTATAGTACACCGTGGGCTGTATACTGTGCGACGCGACGTTTACTATTTTCCAGCAAGTGGGCCATCAAAGCATGTAGCAAAATTTTGCCAGAATTATTAAGAAAATTATTTTTACTTTTTTTTATATGCTGCTACGATTTTTATTTAAGTACATTATTTCCCTTTGAAATAACAGTTTCTTTTAGCACAGCTTGGAAAGCTGAAATGCACCTAAACATTATTGCAAAACGGTTAACAGTTGCCCGTTACCTCGTTTACAGTCTGTTACTGTAAATAGCGCGTTTTCAACTCATATAATCTGTTTTAAATCTGGTTTTTATATTACTCGTGTTTTGTGCTTATGAAAGTAATTACCGCACCATCTCGGTCACGTATTTATTACATCCATAATATTTTAACACTTGATATTCTTTACAATAAAAATATATAAGTACACTCTCTCCTCTCTCTCTCTCTCTCTCTCCAGCCAGATTGTGTTGATTTAATTAATAATTCAGTAGTTAAAAAATAGATTGAAGACTGCTATTTAAAAAAAAAATAATACGAACAAAATGATACTGAAAGTAAATAATTTTCTTTGAATAAAGAATACCACTAAAATCCATTCACAAGTGGGTTAACATATTGTTACCAGACTACAAACATTTATTGCTGAAGATTTGTAGTAAAGGATCTATGACCCTATTAGTCATCAATCTCTGACCATTATTCAGTCTACACATATGTTACAGCACGTATTTCACTTCTAAACGAGGCTATTTATCGATTGCTATCTATACGATTACTTCCATAAAATAAAACCTAATAATTAATTAAAAGTGAATAAGTGAATTATTTATTAAGTATAGATGAATAAGTAAGACCTAACTTGCCTAATCTCAAACCAAGATAGCTAAAGTATGTAATAACAATTGTAATAAATCATACTGTTTTGTCTAGACTTCGATCTAGGATCCAATATTATACAATATTACAAAATCGAATAAAGAACATCTGAGAGTATAGCACTTATCCTCAATACAATTTCGAAATGTTAATTCACAACATGACTCAGCCACAAATTATAACCAAGTTGCAAAATCGATTCAGGGGTACCTATAAAACTATATCCTAGATATATAAGTATATATATATAAAGGCTGTGAATAGATATCGTGGAAAAATATAAACAAACTTTACAAGAGTATTATGTTACAATAGTGATCAATAGAGTACGAGTAAGCTGAAAGGACATCATTATCCGTTCAACTAATGAGCCTACTCTCGTTATACAAGTATTAATGTCAATTATCAGTTTTCTGACATAATTTTGGCAGACCTGAGCCAACAAAGTATTGATAAGGAGAAAGAAAGGTTACTTTTGCTTCCGTAAATATTTGTTTTTATATATTTATTACAGTTGCAATGTGCAATACATTTTGATATAATACATCTTACA